CCCTTCAGGAGTCTCCTAGGACCTGCCCGACAGCCACATGCGGTGCCTGCGCTGCTTAGAAACAGCTCATGGAGAGACGAAAGCCCCTGTGGAAAGCAAATGCCTTCCATTTTAATGGGCTAAGTCCTCCCTACCTTTTGCCAGCAGGAAAGTGTTTTGCAAGCGGCCACCTACAATACTATGATGAGCGCTTGATGCCACAGACGTGGCACTGCTCCCCGGCCTGCTGCAAGACACAGGCGCTTTCGACCTGCCCCGTATTCACTGGAAAAAGCATCACAGATTTCCCCCAGGAGAAAGGAGGCTGAAAGAGTCAGCGGTTTGCTACTGGCGGGGAGCCCCGAGAGGCGGATACTGGAGGAAACTCAGAGCCAAGCACCTGACTGAGAGGGGACGAAGCTTCAAAAGCGTGACCGGAAACATCTCGTGTTTGAACGCTTCGTGGCATCAACCTAAGCAGCATCTCTGCTCAGAGAGAAAGGTGCTGTCTTTACGGCCACGCAGACCGTGGCAGCTGCTGCTCTGGGGCAGGCTGCGGAGACAAAGGGCACGTGCTTGGAGACGGCTCAGGAACAGGCAGATGCAACGTCTGACTGTGCCGATACCGCAAGAACAATGCGGTGGCACTTACTGCAAGGGGGGTGCTCTGGCCATTTATCCTCCGATCCATCCCCCATGCTAGCAGAGCCATCACAGGCCCGGCCTCGCCACTAGCAGCCCCGGGTACTTTGCACTTCCTGCTTACGACCCCCCTCCCAGCCCACTTCCATGGGCAAAGCAAAGTGGTAGTGGCAATGCTCACATCAGGTGCCTCCAGGTGGCTCAGTCCACGCCAGGGCACCTGTGGTAGCAGCTGTCCCTGTCATCAGACCGGCAGCAAATTAAACAGGTTCTTCACTTTCCTTTTTTTTTTCCTTTTTTTTTTTTTTTTTAAAGCTTGTGCCTTTAATAAAAAGCTTAGAAATGCCAGCAGACACACAGACAGTGCTCAAGGGAGGGGGCTGCACAGGGCGCTGCCGCTCTCCCCCCTCCGAACCAAGGATGCGTTAAAAAACCAGAGCGGGGCCTCCGTGGTGCCCGGCCACCCATGAGCAACCAGAGCTCTCTTGGCGTCACGGCCCCATCGGCACGAGGAGCTGGCCTAGCTCTGGCCGGGAGGCAGGGTGTGCCCCTCGAGTATTGCACTTCTTTCTCTAAGCCCACAGCACGCAAGCAAGCAGGGAAGGGTCTCCCTGTGTTACACGGCCCACCGGGAAAGCCAGGAAGTGGCTACTAGCCCCTTGAAAAGCTACTACTAGCCTCTTGTGAAAGACCTGCAGGGGGGGGGGGGGGCAAATTAGCCCATGCAGGGAGCTGCTGGGTCACTTGCTGGGCTAAGAGAGTATGGAAAGAGAATCAGCACTCAACCCTGTATCTTGAGGGCTGAGCCTTTCTGCTGGTTTTCCAGCCCAGCGGTGGCCTTCAAGGCTGAGCAGATGCTCACTGAAAAAGAGAGATTCCAGAAACTGAGGCCAGAACTTCACATTCTGGCACCTGACCTCTCGCGCTTTCCCCTTCCCCCTCAAATGGCCTGGCTGTCCCTTCTCCCGTCCAGCTGGCCCACGTCTAGAGTCTGCATTGGTAAGCACCCAGACAATCTCCCTCTCCTGCCAGCAAGGAGACCCTTTAGGGCCATAGGATCTGATGCCAACCCCCGGCAGCCCCTGTGCCCACACCGCCTCCCCAAGACGGACGCATTTTGAAGTTGGAGGAAAAAGAGCTTCCAGGTGGGCCGTGTGCTCTCTGTTAAAGGAGGGTGAGGGAGAAGAGGTCCCCTTAGCACAGACTCTCCAGCCGGAGAGCTCAGCTCTGCCGAGTTAAGGGCAAGGCCAGCGATTCATGGGGTGGCGGTCCGTACATACGCTGCTTCTCCTCACCCCCCAGCCCAAGTCACCGACCGGCGCCCCGCTCCGAGGGAGCCCGCCCGGGACAGAAGGCAGCCACGCGTGGTCTTGGTGTGAGGTGAGCCCCCGGCATGGGGAAGGGTGGGTGTGTGCACACGTGCGTGTGTTTGGAGTGGGAAGGGAAGGAAGGGAGGATGGACAGCTGTGCCTGGCATGCAAACACGATCTCAGGGCACAACCCAGCAGATCCCATGTAAGGGCTCAGCTGGGTGGCTCCAGCCTCAATGGGCATTTGATCCAGGGCTGGTTTGTGGCTGTTGAGTTCCCAGCTGCAGCTCCGCTCCTTCCCTCCCCTGTCCAGGCCCAGGACGTCATGGCAAGGACCAGGCTCTTATTGCAGGGGTTTAAAAGGGTTGCTTTCCAGCCAAGCATCCCGATGGACTTAGGTCCTGACTGTGTGTGGGGAGATGGTGGGTGGAACAGAAGGAGGGAGAGGATGGGGAAGTGGGCCACGCTAAATTGTCCATGAAAGCCCAGGGTCAAATGCACACCCGGCCTCCCTCCTTGGCTGCAGCTTGCCAAGGGTATGGTGGCATTTGAGAGAGAGCGTGCCCCTTTACACAGGAACGCGGGTGCTGCCCAGCCCTGCGCGCGCGTGTCGGGTTGTGTGTCTGCACGTGGTTGTTTTGGCAAGAGGTCATCGAGGTTACATGATGCAGCATTTGTTCTTGTGGTTGTGAGGGTCCTTGAATCGGAGTCTCTGCTTTGGCCGGTACTTTTCCAGGTAGGTGAGCTGCTTGCTGTTGATGGCTCCCCGGCGCTTCCTGAAACACAAAGGCACAGGCGTCAGTGCTCGTCGGCAGGCGTCAGCCCTGTTCCCCAGAGCACAAGCTGGGCCCAGAAAGACCGACCAGACCCCTGACGATGGGTCAAGCAGCAAGCTCTGCAGTGAGCTAGTGGAGGCAGGCGACCTACTTGCCCATCCTCAAGAATTGGAGGAGGACACGTCTACATCCATATCATATTCCTTCCCTCTTGAAGGAAAAGCGCAGTTGAGGGACATGCAGGCTAACCGATCTCATGGGGACAGCTGTGGTCCAGCTGTTCCCAGAGGAAGGGCTGGGAGCCCTCAGGGCTGCGATGCCAGGAGGACTGTGGTCTGCAGAAGACCAGGGGATGGACTGGATCCCCCGAGAGGGCTCGTCTCTTCCTACCCTTGCATCCACTCCACGGGGCGGGAATTACAGACGTCTTGCTGCATGTGGCAAAGAGCAGTGTGAAAAGGAAGCGAGCGCGAGCAGCATCCTCAGCTGGCAGCAGGAGCTGGGGACCTGCCGGCAGCCAAGGAAGAGCTGAACTCGCTGCTGCTGCACGGGCCTCTGGCGGTCAGAGCAGGGGGAAGGCGCGGAAGAAGCCACGCTGGAGCGGCGCTCGCTGGGAGCTGCTGGGCCGGAGCAGAGCATGACCGCGACCATTCGAGTGAGACAGCGGGACAGTGCAGAGCCTGCAGCTAAAGGCAAGGGTCAGCAACGAGGAAGGATGTCTGCCCTAACCCTGGATGAGAAATGAGCCAGATGGCCTTAATCCTCCCAGGAGGACAGTCAGCTGCTCCCCTCCAGCAAGATTTCACAAGAGCGTTGAATACCCCAGCTCTGCGCAGCCCGCCCTTCCCTCCCTCTCTTCCCCCTTCCCCATCCCAGTGCCGAGTCAGAGCCCTGGACCCGCGCTCTGGGGCAACACAAACCTCAGGTCGGCTCCGGAGGCTGCAATACGAGCATCTCAGATACACATGCAGCAGGTGACCCTCGCCCAGCCCATCCTTACAAGTCAGGAGACTGCTGGCCTAGCGTCAGGCCCTCCTCCAACACGACCCAACTCCTCCCTAACTCGCCTGACCCAGTTCGTGTCGGAGCCTTTGATTTGCCTAACAAAAAGCTGTCGATACCGAGGCGGCCCGGCCCTTTGCCTGTGGGAGTCTTGCTCTATTAACCAACCGCTCGGGCTTCCAGCCGGCATTCTGCATTCGTAGGTCACCGGGAGTTGAGCAGACTAATTATTCCCCCATCCCTCCGGCTCTCAGCCACCAACGTAGCTGGGAAATGGTCACCCCGAGGCCGAGCAGTGTAACAGCTGAGCTGAGCTGGGCTGGGTCTCATCAGCTCTGAAGGGAGAGCGCAGATCAATCCAGACACCAGCTCTAGAGCGAGGCCCAAGACATGCACAGTCCAGCTGGCTGGGGCGGAGGGGGAAGCAAAGGAGGAAGCGGGGGGAGGAAGGGGATACTGCCTGGTTTGCTCTCTAAATTACATCCAAGCTTCACGTCAGAGCTTCTGAGCAGCCAGGAGGCAGGAGACTTCCCCCTGCGCCCCGATCTCCTTTTGCTTCGGCATCTGGATGCTGTTCTTTTAAACAGCTTCCATGCAAATAGCTCCTAGCAGATAAATCCACATACTTGACTCTAAAATGGGTGATCTCCTGGTTCCCTTGCATGACCCCATCATGAGCACCCCTGATTAACCCCTCGTGTACATCTGCATCTGGGGGACGGCCAAGTTAGCCTGGCTATTGTACGCAGCGGCCCCGCTACGGGGCACATGGCAGGCAGATACATGACGAGGCACTTACTGTCTAATGAACTGAATGGCGTCTTCATACTTCATCCCGCTCTCAATCAGAGCCAGCGCCACGAGAACTGGGGCCCTGGAAATAATGGAGAGAGGTGATTTTCTCGGAAGGGCTCGTTTGCTGCTTTAATTACAGGAATACCAGAAGCGAGGCATGAATAGTCACGTACTCTCTCCAAATTTAAATCGTACTAAGTCCCCTCCGCTCCAAACCCTCAGCACCACACATACCCACAGGGATGACGTTCCACACTTACGCAGCATACATAGTTCATGCAAAAAAAAAAAAAGCAATGCTCTCACATCTGAGCATTACGGTAGATCATGGAAGGGAACCGCAGCAGCACAAATACAACAAGCATTGATTGGCACGAGACACCATATAAACGCTGGTTTTTCGGCCTTCTAATCACCAGTTAACACCCAGGTGGAGGCACCGAGCATACAGAAATGATGCAGCTGTTGGACGTGGGTCAAAATAAGGAGGACAAACCTTGCAGCAGTTGGCTGCCCTCCTACAGAAAAAGCTTTGACTTCAAAGGAATTTGACAAACGATCAGTAATTAGATAAGATGAATTACTGGTAGGTTCAGTATGAAACAAATTGCGGAGGATTAGAAGCCAAGTGTCCCAAAGGCACCTTCCCGCTTTAACGGGGGAAGAGTTTGCAAACTGTGGCTCCAGAACAGACTGGAAAGAAACCTTAAGTCCTTGCAATGATCTGTCACAAGAACGACGCAGGCTTCCACAAGGACCGCCAAGCTCATTTCAGAGGCTGCTGCAGACCGACTGTGCAACAGCTTGAAGGGAAGGGAAACAAAAGCAGCTGGCTGCTAGCACAAAGATCACCTCCTTGCACAGCACAGTAAGGGTGCCAAGGATAGGTATCTGCATCTCCACAGGGGTCGACCCGCTATCATCTCACCCCTCCCTAGTTCGGGCCATGCATTTCATGTCAGACAGTGCCTTGCGCTCCCCAAGTGCCTTCTTAGGGCTTCAACAAACAGCTGTGGCAACAAGGATGACCACCACACCCTCAACCTTTAGGCACCGGCTGCAATTTTCAAAGCTATCTGGAGGCTCAGCGCCCCTGGAAGTTAGCATGACTCTTGCATCTAGATCCCCAGGTTTGGAGATGGCAACCTGGAGTGTCACTTAGAAGAACAAGGCATTTCAAGCAGGCCTAGGGGTCTTTTCTAGTTTCTCTAGCTAGGAAACAGCCCCTGGTCAGGTAAGCACAGCTCATCTTAGCTATTACCTAAACAGCACGGCAGCAGTAGTGACCGGTAGAGGAACCTGACCTCTGCTGCTGCAAGTTCACCTATGACCTTCCAGCCCAGAGACAGGAGCTGCACCCTGAGACCACCCAACACCTAACTGCAGGCTGAGACCACCTGCAATCCCCTGCTCTTTGAGGACTGTATGGGGTTGCATTAGGACAGGGCAGCCTTGCCTGCCTCCTCCGTGGCCTTGCCATGCCTGGTTTCCCAGGAATCCCACAAAGTGCTGAGCAGAGGACGAGGAGAGCCCTCCCACGGTATGGAGCTCCCCCACCCCGGCACTTCCTTTGGGACAGTGCTTTGGCCAGCCTTGCTGGGAGAAGGGAATCCCAAGCCAGGAGACTAAGAGGCCATCTGGGCTGTTTAGCACCGATGGACTTGTCAGACACTTCACTGCAATGTCTACGTATGGACCAAGGGTTACGCATCTCCCATCAGCTGGCCTTGAGCAGATGCACAACAGGGCTGTGCTCTGTGCCGCGCTCAGCCTTGCACCCGAGAAGACAGAGAGAAGCTAACGAGGGACCAGTATATAACAGGACCTCATTGCTTCTAAAATGGAGTTTGATTAGTTTTTGAATGGGATTATATGGTGCTATCACCTGTGAGATCAGGGACCAGACTCAGCGACCCAGGACATTTCTCACCCTGCAGTCTGAATGGGGAGGTTTGAGCTTTCCTCAGCCTCTCTGGAAGCAAAACCCTGCATCCTGCTCTCCCTACAGGGAAGGCATCTTCCCTGCCCCAGCGAAAAACAAGGCTTGGATTCAGCCAGATGCTGCAGCAAGTCTTAGAAAACAGCCTAGAGACCATGCTGGTGCCTCTCTGCAACTACTTTGCTAGGATCTCCTCTTGCAACTAAGGAGGCTGCATCTCTGGCTATTGCAGCCAGGAGGAAATCCTCAGCAAGGCAGAGAGGAACTCATGTCCCCGGCTCTCTGCAACGGCTCCCAGGGGAATCCAGGGGTGCAGCGATGAGGATGTAAAGCACTTGCCTCACCTAAGGACTGAGACGGCAAGTCACAGGTCAGTGCAATGCACTGTAGAAGCAATCTGGTCTCGGGGAGGAGGGAGCTCGGGGTGTGTGTGACACCATTTGGTCTTCTTCCTGCTCTATTACGGAGTGGAGATACCTGTAGGTATCAAGTATTTTGCAACACCAGGACTTTCAGGAGTTTCCTCAGAGGGCTGGAGGCCCTTCGTCATCCTCCCCTGTGCCCAGAAGTAGCAGCGAGCCCGTGCACAAACGCACACGGAAAGACGGGCCTCGGAAGAGATGGGAAACATGCTTTGCCCTCACCTCATCCTCCATGGCACGCTCACTCCTAACAGCGGCACACAGTGCCCCCCCCCCCACCTTGCATCTTGCTCCCCTTGCTGGGGAAGGTTTGCCCCAGGGGCGGCTTTTAACCCCTCCTGACCCTGCTACTTACCGGCCCAGGCCAGCCACGCAGTGAACCGCCACGCAGCAGCCGGGGTCCTCGCAAAACTTGGTCTTCAGCAGGTTGAGCCAGTCATCCACGATCTTGCTGGGGGGAGGAGCGCCGTCATCAAAGGGCCAGTCCTAGAGAAAGCACGAGGTAAGGGTTACGGCTCTGCGGCACCGTGCCCCCAGCCCCATGGAGGCAGCCTGGCTCTGCAGACCCCCAGCCCGGAGAAGGGTCACCTTGGGCATCTCGCTCTGCTTCCCTGGGAGGGGGACAAAATCCCGTGGGATCGGAGCACCCACGTGGCAGAGGGAGAATCTGCGGCGTGTTTGCCCCCCTTGTTCATGCCCCACGTGCATGCTCTGTGGGCCCACGTGCTTGGCGATGCATTTGCAGTACGTGATGAGGTCAAGGAGGGCGAGAGCGTAGGAAACGCATGCCCCCAGTAAATGAACCCTAATGTGGCTGCTTCGCCCTCTATCACGGAGCACGGCGAGGGTGACGGGAGTTATACCATTCCCCTGAATGACGTACAAGAGCCCTCCTGTGCCTCCAATGCCTGTGCCCACCCCAGGAGTTTTGCCAGCACAGGCTGGGCCTGCTTTGTACCAAGGGCATCCATTTGGGACAACCACTCTGCTTCATCACAAGCTCACGGGGAAGTGACTGCTCCATGTCGTCCATCGTATTTGACTCCCCGTGATGGACACGGTCTGCTCAACCATTCACTGGACGGTCCAGCTCCTGCCCCACAGGTGACGGGGCCACCCCAAAGGGATGGAGCGACGAGGCTTCAATCTGCACACGTGCAGAACAACTAGTACGTCTGAAATCAGCCCGCGTTCGGCTCATAGGGCAACGAGGGGAGCCCTTCCTTCCTACGCCAGCTTGGCTGGAGGGAAGGAAGGGGTCCTCCCCCCGCCCCAGCACACACACGAGGGCAGCTTTGAGGCCGAGAGCTGAGACAATAGCCGATGCGAGTCTCCAAGGTTCATTTCTAGGATACCTGGCCAGGGCTCAAAAGTCCCGTTGCTTCAGCTAGACAGAGCGGCTGATCTCCTGCCTCCACAAACTCAAACCACATGCGGAGCTTGGCAGAGGCTGCGGCTCAGATGGTTCAACCGAGCGTGGGTGGGAACCGTAACTTGCTGCTGCAAGGCTGCCAGACCCGCCCGCGGGGAGGGGGCGGTGGGGGATGCCGAGCGTCGCGGGCGTCCTTCCCCAGCCAAGGACTTACAACTTCCGAACAGGCACCCCCCAGCCCGACCACCGAAAGGAGAGCTGCAGACTGGCCCGTGCCCGGGAGCCCGAGGAGGCAGCCGGTGACAAGCCCCCTTCAGAGAGGCAGGAGGGAGGAGGCCGGCAAGGTAAAAAGGGCAGGAAAGCTAGGAGGCTCTTAACCACAGGGATGTGGCTGCAGATAGCGAAACCACAATATTCCCGTGTTTAACTTGAAACAAGTGTTCTCCTGTCCTTCCCCTGCCCTCCCCCAGCGCGGCCTGTTCCCGTCCAAAACACAAGGAGTCAGCAGCTTGGATCCGCTTTGCATCCACTTTGCAGGACTCGGGAGGAGCGATATGCAGGGCTTGAGAATTTGCCTAGGTTAAAAGCAGCCCGGGTACAGGCTCGAATTCAAGCCTGACATAAAAAGACATGAGCACCATCCACGTCCTCGGCGTTGCACCGACCTCAAGCGGACCCTCAGAGCATCCCCTTGGCGTGGGTCCATCACATCGGTCGTGGGGCAAACAGAGACGGGGTCCAAGTGCCCAACTGGACGCCCTGAAAGTGCCCATGGGGCATCCTTGGAGCTGCCTCGGGTGGAGACCCCAAAATATGCCAGGTCTTTTCTGAAGTGTGACCTGGGGGGCTTGCACTAGAAATAAAAGGCAGCGATTGCTAACCATGAGGGTAGCAGAGCCCTCAAGACTCCTCACGTAGGGACAGGATGGACTCCCCATTTCTTGGCACCTTTAAATCAAGATCCTGCGGCAAGACTTGGTCTGGCTCGAAAGAGAACAGTTCTGGTCCAGCTGTTGGTGGGATACGATGGCCCGGAAAACATGGAAGCCACACCAGTGGCTGCCTCCTGGCGTGATCGAGCTGTGGGGCAGTAGGCAGGGCACGGATCCCGACCTCTGTGCCCCGAAGGAGCGGGGGCGAGGGAAGGGGGTGAACCAGGTTGCAAAAGCACGGCTCCACGTCCACCTATCCGCAGCACTGCCGGGAGCATGGGGGTGGCTGCTGGGATGAGCATGGAGGGGGAGGAGAGCTGGGGTCACACATGGCAGCACCCTTAAAGGGGTTTTGCAGCACTCACGGGTGCTGTAGCTCTGGAGATCCAGACGGACAGAGGAGGCTACCAGCCTAGGGCCAAGGCTTTGCCTGCCACTGCTGGGATTAAGGCATATTAATCAGAAAGCCACGAAAGAGGGAAGTATCCCCGTGGCCGCTATTTCCCCATCTTCAGCCACCCGGGGAGTCCCAAGCTGCAACGAGCCGGGCTGGACAGCGATGCAGGTTTGTTATGCCAGCTGCGAGCGATCGGTAGGGAGCCGGTAAGGGGGAAGACAGCCAAAAGGTACAGACTGGGGTGTCAAGACCATAAAAACCTGCTCTTTGATAAGCAGGCCTCCCTGTCACATTTAAGATGGGTGCCCAGTTGGAGAAGTGATGGTAGCCGAGACTGTCAGGAGACTAGTTACCTAGGGGGAGGCAGGAAGGGTGCCAGCAGCTTGGGACCCCATAAGGCAGACCGATTTTCATTTGACCCTCCGGAGATAAGGCCTTTTTAAAGGGTCGAGTCCACACCAGGGAGCCACTTTGGACAAGCTTGGCCCACGTGGAACGATCCCCCTCTCGCTCAGCAGATTGGCTGTGCACGTTTTGCATCACAACCACTGCCTAGACGATCAAAAACTAACATTAAATCACTGCCGACTCCTGTCAAGCTGAACATCTGCTCCCTGGGCATCGTCAGCCAGTGCCTCGTTAGGGAGCAGTCGCCCAGATGCCGGCAATCCTCCTGAAATCAGGCAGGGCACCAGCTGGGGATGACGCTGGGCCTAGTCCAATACGACTTGTGCAAAGTTGGTTGCATTGCCAGGGAAGCTGGAAAGGGCCCAATTCGATTCGGGGTTTGTCTGTGCTCGAATCGGCGTTATGCCAGCGCTGACATTTTGGTTCAGCTGCAATTTGATTCAAACAGAAATAAGCCTTTGAAAACCAAGCCTCGTTCAGCCTGGTGTAATTCTGCCATCGCGCCAGCCCTTGGAGCCTGGAAAGGGCCTGCAAACCAGCTGCGCCTGCAACCGGAGCGCGTTCGGTACGGGGACGCCTGCGGCACAACAGCGTGGAAGCGCCCCGAGGGCCCTGCACCAAATCTAGTGGGAGCGAGCGCAGCCTTTCAAGATCCCAGCGCTGTGGTTGCAGACCCACGGGTTTGTGTAATTCTGAGCAGACGTCCTTCTAGGGGAACCCGTCTTCAAAGCGCTGCCCGGTGGGGGAGGAGGAAGCTGAACGGCGGGATGCCCGGCTATTCGGCGGGCCCCTAATGCCTCCCGGCCCATGCCGTGCAGCCGAACAAAGATTTCCCCACAAAGGCTCGGAAAGAGTCTCTTGCTGGATGAGCTCCGGCGAGAATCTGCTCTGCAGTCGGCTCTGCTCATGAAAGCCGGGCGAGTTTGCCGCGCGGGGCTTTGAACTCCCCCGGGCTGCTCCCACGCTTCGCTGACAAGCATGTGCAGGGCTGGAGGCGCGCCCGGCTGCGGTCGCGCTGCTATCCTGCCACATCACCTCGCCGCATGCTCTCCCGGCAGAGCGTTTCCCAGTCCCACAAGCGTTTCTCCCCCGTTCCCTTTGCCCTCTCACAAAACCTCTCATGCCGAGCCACTCCTCAACCCGTACGTAGCTCAACGCTGCATTTTCCTTTTCTCGTTCGATTCTTTCATGCACTTATTTCCTCCTTCCCTCCCACCCGAGCTGCCGCCTTCCTCCTCCTCCTCATTCTGCCGGTCGGACGTCCCTTCTTTCAAGTTCCCATTGAATTTTTCCTTAAACAGGACTTTGTGCGGGGCAGAGAAGAGAGGGAAGAGTTAGTGGCTCTGTTTTCAAGAAGGGGCTTAATTTCCTCCAAGCCTCAAGCAGCTCTAAGCACCGAGGTCCCTTGCACTAGCATGCTCCAGCATGAAAAAGCCTCCAGCTCTCAGCAGAGGAAGGAAGTGCTGACCTAAATAAGTGAGGACACGTGTCAAAGAGCTCGCACAGCATAACAAGACCACGGAAGTTGTCTACTTTCAGGGGAGCCGGAGAAACCTAGAGAAAACAGGTTGCAGAGGACAGAGAAACAGGCTGGCAGACTTGCACTTTATTCCCAGCTCGGATATATGGCACAACCACGTTTCATTTATTTGCCCATCAAACCTCTGCCTTCTCTATTTAGGCTCGTGCTCTTTTGGGGATGAGACCATGTCTAACGGTGCCGCGACCTCGCTTGGGGCCTTTACATGCCGCTGTCATACAAACAGCGTTACCTGTGCGATGTAACACCGCGAAGGCCGACACGCTGCACCACGCAGGACAAATGCATGCGGTCACTAATCCATGCTTAACGACTGAGTCATTAAGCTGCCCTGCTGAAGTCATCACTGGGAAGGGATTAGGCAAAAAGCTGTTGAGGCGCGTGGATTATTTTAACCAGGTGATGCAATGTTGCTGATCCCGAGCACTGCTATGAAAATCAGCAGTCGCATCAGCGGGAAATCCTACCTGCCTGAGTCACCCCACATCCGGCGGGGCATCGCTATGGGCAGACACCACTTCCTTCAACTCAGGGCCCTGGCTTGCCGAGCAGGTTAGGGTTAGCCTGAAGCAACGCGGGACTGGAGATGGTAAATGCAGACACCATGCATAGGCTTTAGGGGCAAGGAAAGCTGGGTTGAAGTTAAGAGGCTGTGACTTGGATGACTACACAGTCCGGTGGGTGGCGAATTGGCTGGAGGGCCGCACCCAGAGAGTCGCGGTGGATGGGTCGGCTTCGACCTGGAAGGGTGTGGGCAGTGGGGTCCCACAGGGCTCAGTCCTTGGACCGATACTCTTCAATGTCTTCATCAGCGACTTGGACGAGGGAGTGAAATGT